TATGTGTGGAATCTTTCAATTTATCAGTCAAGAGGCTTTTCTTGGTTATGGCATAGACACATTCAACGACACATTCTTCCAGTATCTAGCTAGACAGACTGGCTCACGACAATTCACCAACATCCAGTTTGTACTCCTAGGTGGCTCTTGCCAACAACAACGGCCCACCATGGCCTAAACCACAGACCTGTTTTTATTCCAGAGTCAATTCAGCCCCCGTGCATAGATGTGCACTATCCAGACATACAGTACAGTATATGCCTGGGTTATTGATCAAGCATGAAGTCAAGATGGCTGAATATTATTGGCCAAGATGGAGTGTAGGTGAATAAACTCACAAGAAAAGAATGAGGTTAATATCAAGCCATCTTGACCAAACAAGCTTGATCATTTGGCTTTCGGGGAAATGTTTTCTTGCAGGACACAGTGGGTAATCCTAAGTGGGCAAGATAGCACCATCTTGCCTGCTCGGGTAGCCAATCACAGTGTAGGATTTGCTTCATCTTGCCTGCTCATGGAGCTAGCCATATTGTTATACAAGAAATAAATTACTACCTTAAGTTAATTTAACCATGGATGTATGGATGCTTACATTGTACAGTTTAGTGTAGACCTGAACAAATAACTTAATTACTTAAAAATAATCATTGTTACTAACAATACTATACATGTTCAGCAGTTTTACAACATAAAAGTTATAATTAATTTTGGAAAAAAAAATTAAAAAATGTTCTAACCTGTGGCCTTAATTTTTCTGATAATACAAGAGACAGCTGGGGTCGAAAAAATACCATTCTGACCAATCACCAACTCACCAACCTTAAAAACAAAATCAACAACTTCAATATTTTTCAATATAATCAATGACAGCAAAACTATTGATTCTGATTGGTTGAATGAACACTTTGTCAGCCATAGGTGCAGATCCATACTGGTTTCCATCATTTTATGGAAATCAGATTTTTCAGAACGACAAGTTCATAAACCCAGGACAACGTTCACACACTTTTGAGCTTTTGAAATTCCATGACTTTCCTTGACCTTTTCCATGATCTTTCTGAGTTTTTCATGACCCATGTTAAGCAGTAGTCTCGCAAAGTATTGTCAAAACAATCTATTATTTACGGTATTTTCCCACATAATGACAATATATGCTAGTGTTTATTTTTTTACTGGTATTAAAACTGGTTTAATTTCTGCCTTGTCTGTTGTTTTTTCAACATTTGATTTTTTTTTTTTCGCCTGTTCATTCTTAGAAAGTTTATAATTTGCTTTTCCATGACTTTCCATGACCCAAACTTCAATTTCAGGACTTTCCAGGGCTGGGCAATAAAATCTATTGATAAAATTCCATGACTTTCCAGGCTTTCCATGACCCGTACGAACCCTGCAGGAAAGGGGACTTCAGAGAGAACTATTTCCTGAAGGAGCATGCTGCCATAGAACTCTTTAGAAACTTTGCACCTTCAGTACTCATTGATTCAGGTACAGGCTAAATTTATTCCAGATCCATGCCTGGACCACCTAGTGTATCATGGGTTTTGTAAGAATCCAATAATTGGATTCTTACACTGAACACCTACCCTGTAATATTATTATTACAGGTGTTCAGTTACGACAGGTTATAGCAACCACTACTGACACTACGAAACCGGGATAAGCTCCGGTAGCTATTAGCCATTCGGCTCCAAGGC